TAATCGTATCCAAATTTTGAAGCCCGGCCCGGACTTAATAATATGACAATTCTAACTTGACTCATAATAATTTTATGCTATTAGGCGATGCGAAATTTAATTTACAAATACCAAAAAATGTAAAATATATATTTATTTATCAAATTTATATTGAAAATAAAAGCTAAAAAAAAAAAATTACTGAAGTGCATTATGTAAATCTAAAATACTATCTATTGTTGAATAATTTCATAAAAATACACCTTCATATTTTCTGCTTTTTTGTTCTTGACGTTAAATTAATTTTTTGATTAAATTTGACATTTAGCTTTAAAAAAGAAATTTCAATAATGTAACGCGACAAAATTAAAAATTAGGGAGGCCTGAGGCATATCCATCTAACCTCGCTGTCCAAGCGAATCAACTCGAAAGAACCACCTAAATAATGCAAAAGTTGAAAAAAAGCATCATCAGTCTATGGTGCTCCGAAACAATCCAATAATAATAATAATAATAACAATAATAATTTAATAAAAAAAAAAAACTTTACCTTGCGATCCAAACAAAAAAAAAAATTTTCTCAAATCTAATAAATTCAGTGTTGGCAATAAATAAACAATGGACACATTTCCATTGTGTCCATTACAGTTTTTATTACCAATCGTTGTCTCATCGCGCATAAGTTTTTTCCAAATGGCAACGCCTTCTACCAGTTTCGTAATTGTCAAATTATGTTAACATGATTGGCGCAGTTTCTATTTAAGGAATGGGAAAATTTTAATTATTACCTAAAATTAACGAGTAATTCACATGGGTAAAATGTATTTATGGGTGTATTACGAAATTTGGGTATTCATTAATAAAAATAGATTTTTTCTTACCAAAATTGTTAAGAGTAAAAAATAATCAAAAATAATTTAAAGAAAATAAACGAGCTATTTTAAGTGCGAAAAAAAATGATATAAAAAAACGTGAATAAATTCTTTTTTTTTTTTTTTAATAAAAAAAAAGGAATATGAAAATGATAAAAATGAAAGTGATTATTCATCTTGCATTCCTTGTATTACTTTTCAATTGGACTTTTGCTGAGATAATCAAGCAATCTTCACATAAAATTCGCGAAAATGCATTTTATGTTAGATTTATTTCTTCGCTTTTCACTTCATCTGCAAACCATATTGAAATCCAACATGCCAATTTTTATAAAGAGTTAAATAAACGTGGAATCGATGTCAAAATTAAAAACGTGTTCAAACGATATACGAACGTCATAAGTATTGAAACCGATGAACGTAATGTAAAAATAATTACCGAAATTGAGCATGTTGAAAGTGTCGAACCTGTGGTAAGTGTCGTTGTCAGAATTGAATTGCTGTGGCGCGGTAAACTAAATTCGATTATTCTAGAAACTTTATAAACGAAACAAATTTAATAAAAAAAATTTGAAAAATAAAGCCGAGGATTTTCGTTATGAAACGGTTTTAATTGCTCCTGATAATGATATTAATGCTATTCATGAAATTACTGGTGTTAAAAAGTTTCGCGAAATATTAAAACTTTTAGGACATACATGGTGTCAGGGTCAGAATTATTGATTCAGGTATATAAATTTATTTCGTATTTAATTTTTACGAAAAATTTTTAACACTTATTTCATTTTATTATTTATGCATCAGGAATTGATTATACACAACCTGCTCTCGGGGGATGATCAGGATGTAGGGTAGCGTTTGGGTATAATTTTCTTGATGATAATAACAACCCATACGATTGTGCTGGACATGGCACTTTTGTATCGGGAATTATTGGAGTATTAATCTAAGAGATGACGGACTTGGATTTGTAGGTGTGACACCTGATATAATTTTTGGAGCATATAAAGTTTTACCTTTGGATTGTCCAAGTGATTATGATGTCAATAATAAAGTATACAACATTCATAGACAAGAATTTTTAGATATGGTAATGAAAGCTATTATCATGGCGGTTGATGATGGAATGGACATCATAAATTTATCTATTGTAAGTAAAATTTCATTTTTAATAATAATAACAATAAATAAATAAATAAATATTACCATTAAATTATTTAAGGGATCTGAAGGTGATAATAGAGGCCCTCTGTCAATTATGATCAATGATTTGGCTAAATATAAAGGAATAATATTCATATCGACGGCAGGAAATGATGGTATTTTGAGCGTATTTACTAGTTTGATGCCATCGGATATTCAAAATACAATTAGTGTCAGTTCATTCAGAACTGATAAAGTTATTAATTTCAAAGCCTTTGATCCAAAGAATCCAGAATTTGTTATTAGTATGTTTTATTTCAATTTGCAAATTTCATTATAAAAAAAAAAGAAATACGAATTAAAAATTTTGCTAATTATATAGACTATATTACAAGAAGTACATTGGTATTTCCGTTCCAAAGTGCTAATGTTAAATTGTTTCTAATGAACAAATGTTCAAATGATTACAAAGAATTTATTAATACACTAATTATCATAGACTTTAGAGAAAATTTATCATGTATCGATATAATGATTAGTGTATGTCTTACGTTATTTTATTTTAATTTTTTTTTTTTTTTTTTAAAATAAAAAGTAACTTTATTTTTATTTCTAGTTTAATAACGAAACCCTTAAGCCACTCGGACGATTTTTAATTTTTCCTGAAATTATTGAAGAAGGTTTACCGAACGTGAGCGTGAGAAATGATGCAATGATTGATTCGAGTCAAGCAAATATTTTAATTCAATATCTCGAAAAAAAATACAAATTTGGAATTAGATTTTTCTGATAAGTATGGATATATGGAATATAAACCATATTCAGTAGTTCCTTCAGTATTTTCAAGTTGGGGTTTAAGTGTCGAGTTAGATATCAAGGTAAGTAATATGTCTCTAAAATAAGTCGCATCGTCAGTTTTATTTCTTAAAAAAAAAATTATAAACAATTTCTTTAGCCTGAAATTTCCGCACCAGGGCAACATATTTTTCAACTTTCCTAGTAAATTTACCCCCTTATATATTGGATTCTGGAACAAGCTTTTCTTCACCATATATAGCCGGCATAGCAGATATATTGAAGTATTTGGAAAATTACAATCTTACGAACAACTAAAAGTGGCATTCATGAATAATGCTGTTCCTTATAAAGATCGCAATAATTTATTAGCTCCGGTAGTTATCCAAGGCGCAGGATTCATCAACGCTTTTAAATTGTTGAAAGCAATCAGCTTTGTCTATCCACCAAAAATTAATTTGAATGATACAGTTCATTTTAATGAGAGCATCATACATTAAAAATCTATAATGTTGGAAGAAAGGAGATGAAATATAAATTATCACACTTGCCAGCTCCAAGTT